AGTCTAACCCAAAGCAACACACTTGTGAAATGGCACTGAAATTGCATGTCTCATGAAACAGTACGTAAATATCTAAGGAATATGGGAAAACTCCATAAAGAAGGTGTTTGGGTGCTTCACAAACTCTCCGATGATCATTGTTTCCAACGTGTGAACGTTGGTTTGTCTCTTAATAATACATAATTTTTCTTTTCAGGATAACTAATGATGCACATGAAGAAGAGATGGAAGAAAACATGCAGCAGGTTGGCACAATTGTTGGAAACCTTCGAAATATGGCCATTGACATGGGAAGTGAAATTGAATCTCAGAACCGTCAGTTAACAAGGATCAATCAAAAGGTAAGTCAATCTAGGTGAATTACGTTTCCATGGCAAGTCATTATGGCACATACAGAGTGATGATATCTTGTAAAGTGTGTTGCTTATCTTTTTAAAGAAGTGTGATTTTTTTTAATATTTCAGTACCATGCAATAGTAATTTAGGCTTTCTTGCTTTTATTTTTTACTCTTGTTGTGTGAACTCCTTGCCACTTTATAAGTTAAGAAAAACCTTTTTGTTATTAGAGGCACTTGTGTAAGTCAAGAACTCTGTGCAACATTGTTTTGTTTTTTAATTGATGTTAATTACTAATTAATTTAACAATGCCAGCTTTTGGTAAGTAGATGCTCTTACAGTAGAATTTATATCTCCACCTCCTCAAAGAAAATTTCATTATTATTTACCCATTTTGTACTGTTTATTTAGCCTCTCAGCAGCTCTGTGGTAAGTCAAAAGACTTATAACTCTAAAAACCAGGTTTCAGTACCCATGATGGATACAGCATATTCATTCTCATAAATGATTGTAAACAATGCCTGTCAAAAGGAACACAGAATTTGTTTCCTGATGTATTTACTAGGTTTTATAAACCTGAGAACAGGATAAAAGATGTAAAGATTAGTATAAAGAGTACACAATAATACTGTTTATAATTTGAATCTAGTCTTTTAAAATACAAATAAGTCCTTTCTGTTTCAGTTGTTTTTACCTTTAAAAAATTAATATTTTTAATTGACTGTATGTTGTTCAAAATATCATAAGTTACATAAATGTAGAAAAATAGCTATTTTTTATTTTCCAAATTAAATGCCTCTTTTTCCAGCTCACTTTCCATTGAATGCAGTGTTTTCCATGCCTAAAAATATTTCTGTAAAGCTAATTGTGTATTTATTTTGGAATAGTTATGTTTTATGCTTGAAACCAGACTCATCTGGTTTCACGTATCTCCTGCTACGTGCATTACATACCTCTTGAAGCCAATTCTGTTGTGTTTTTTTTACTTCATATCTGGCCCCCCAGTGGCTCAGCAGTAGTCTGCAGAGTTACAATGCTAGAAACTGGGTTTCAATGCCTGTTGGTGGGAAGAGCATAGATAGCCCATTGTGTAGCTTTGTGCTTAACTACAAACAAACAAACACTTCATATCCAATTTGGAAATTGTTACTATTAAATTTTTTAAAAAGCTCTTACCTAACAGTGATTTTAGATCCATTAAATTTAAAAGACATTTTAATTGAGTAGCAACCACATATTTTTGCCTTTGTTTCTTCAACTTTTATAAGAAGATTCAAATGAATTAACTATGAAAAGTGCTAAGAAGAAGACCTATAATTTAATGAGGTAATAATTTTTTCCATCTTCTGTGTCACATTCTAGGCAGAATCAAATGAATCTCGTATTGCTGCTGCCAACCAAAAAGCCACAAAACTCCTCAAGAGCTAGAAGAGTGAAACTCAAAACTGTGGCCACGAATATTTCCTTCTTGTGAATCTGTAACAGTGTGCATTTTGTGTAACTACCAGCATGTTTGTTTTCCACAAAGAAAAATTTAGTACCTATATATCTGTCAACATTTGCCTCTTTGGTGGTTGTTTGTCTGTTTTTGTATTTTGTTACAATTACTCAGCTGTTCAGGTACAACTTGTATTTTTTGTTTCAGCTGGTTTGCTTAGATGACTCATTATTTAATATCTTTATATGTATATATCTGTCAAATTTGGCTATTTTGGTGGTTGTTTGTCTGTTTTTTGTCTTTTACAACAATTACTCAGCTGTTCAGGTACAACTTGTATTTTCTTTTCAGCTACTTTGCTTAGATGTCTCATTAATTCCTGTCTTTATCCTAGCCAACCTAAGTAGTTATAAGTTTCCTGAAAATCTGCTGCTGCATGGTAACACAAACTCTTTACTATTCTAGAAGCTGTGAATATAGTGGTTTCATTTATGAATCTAGGTTAAGGATAGAAATTCATTTTGAAACGTTTTTGACGCCTCATTTTGTAATCAATTAATATTTTTCCTTCTTAAAAACTTTTGTTCTTGTATTAATTTTATTATAGAAAATTATAACGGTGGTAGTGGTGGTAATTGATGTGATTCTGTGGTGTTTTCTGTCCTTTTATCTATAGTAGTGTATCTATGTTCAGTTTATTATACACTGTTAAGATGTCACTGCAGTCATTAGATTATACTTAGTTCATAATGTTATGTTAAAGTATATAGTCAATATTTACAAGGTACTACTTCAGAACTGAGTTATGTTTTGTTGTATTATCTCTGGTAATGAGGAAGCAGCTATTACTTTATGGAAGAAAAAAGATCAATTCAGGTTAAGAAAAAGAGTCATTGGTTTTCTTATATATTTTTTGTATAATTATAATTATAATTTTTTGTAAAATTATACTGTTCTATAGCTTCAATTCTCAAACTAGATTTAGTTCAAAACAAAGTACTCAATATTTTTTCTCTTAAAGATTTGTTTGCAGCTCAACAGTAAATGTGTTAAAATTCTGTTTATGAATTATTTACCAACCAGGTTATAAAAATATTCTGAACTACACAGGAATAATTTTGTTGTTGTATGGCTTTCATTTTTCAATTATATTCGAAAAGTTCCATAGCAGTAGTAATAGCACTTGTTTGTGAATTGGTTGCACTATTAAGCTAGTCAATTCCAATATGAAAGAAACTGCTCTAACAATAGTCTGGACTGGGCATTTATAGAATCTTCATGGTAAGTCTGACACTTGGTATATCTAGGGTGACCAGATATTCAGACTGAAAAACTGGGGGAAGCCCAGTTCTTGCCCCTAATTTCAAAATGGCTATTACAAATTTGAATTAATGAAACTTTTATTTAATTTACTTTAAATTTATTGAACTGTTCCTCAATATTTCCATATATATATTATCATTGGCATTGTTTTTTAAAATAATTTAAACTACTTTTTTTAGTGATAGACACAAAACAAATGAGCAAAAATAGTAAAATTATACTTCCAAGACATCATTAATTATTCACTTTACCCAGTTCACCTTCAAAAAGGCTACTTCATATCTGAATGTACTTACAAATCCATAACATTTTCATGTATACTACTTTTAGGTTTTAGCATTCTTGAAACTTTTTATTTATATTTTTGTGAAGAATGAACAGACCTTAGAAGTAGAGTTTTTTTTTCTTTATTAAATAGTAATAAAATTCAGTATGTGACTATGTAAAGTCTGTTTTGAGGATAAGCACTGCCTTAACTGTCTCCAAATTCAGACCTGTGTTACTCACCTTGCACACACGGAACTTTTGAAAAAGTTTGGTGATAGGAGAGTACGTGTTACAACAACAAGCAAGTCAAGTAGTCCTATTAAAATCATGATTTGATGTGGTTGACAGTTTGATGCCTATCATAAAACTGGGATGTTTTGTGTATCCCAAGATCTTTTCTCAGGACATTGGGACAAATTACCAAAAACAAGACTGTTCCGGCAAAACTAAGACATCTGATCACTTTAGGTATGTCAAAATAAAACAAGAAACATGCTTTTTGTTATAATTCAGGCATGATTAAATTGAATTTCTATGATTTAAAAGTTTTAAAGTTAGATTTAATAATTAAACATCATCAAACTCTTTACTATTTCTTGCTTCATTTTATGAAAATATCATATCTTAGATACAGTATTTAGCATGGTCAATAGTTTTTTTTTTAAATACTATTTTTGATTTGAAGAGCATAGTACATAAACATTTTTTTCTTAATGTCCACTAATGTTTAACAGTTTTACAACTTCTTGAAAGTAAATCGTTTTCTGCTGTTTATGCATAATAAATATTTAGGTCCCAGAGAGAACCATTTTGGTTCTTGTATTATTTTCTAATTCAGTGTTTTTATTGCCTGAAAGATTAACACGTTTCATAAGCCACAAAAGAAACAAAGATATCAGTCTTCTGATAATTTATCAAATTCATACAGTTTTTGCTACTTGTATGATAAATACTGTAGGTCACTAAGTTTTAATGAAATCACAACCTTAGATTTAGGTATCACAGTTCAGAACTACTTAGATTATTCAATACTTCTAGAAACATCTTCCCCCTCCATGTCTCAACAGTAAGTCTGAGGGCTTATAATGCTTAAAATTGGGTCATGATACTTGGAATGAGTATTGCATAGATACCTGGTTATTTAGCTTTGTGCTCAACAAACAAATCTAGAAACATATAAATGGAGATTAAAGATAACATTTTGTAAAAGTTAAAATCATTTAATAGTATTGTTATCTGGATACATTCACCCAATGTATTAGTCTTGTGAATTATTAGCTATTGAAGTAAAGAATTTAGTTCTTTATTCTTTTTTTTGAGTTAACAATTAAATGATATTTTTGTAAGTTTATCACTTTTAACACAACCTCTATTTGTATAGAAATCCTAAATAAAAACTAGTAAGATGAAAAGGTTGGCTTTTATAGGAATATCTTGAATTCCAATAAATGTTTTCTGCAACCAATTCCCATTCCTAAGTCAGTTCTTGTACATTTCTTAGTGGTACATAGTTAAAAATTGTTCTTTTAGTTATCTACAAGTAAAAATTTTAAGTGATTAGGCAATAAAGAAAAGTACAACTTCTTGAGTTGTGAATACCCATCAGCTAATTTGTAAGAAGATTTTTGTAGTTTTCCAGAATATTTCTGTGTACAATGCCTTAGTAGTATTTTATCAGGTTTCTGTTGTAAAACCATTCCCAGGGCTAATTGATGCCTTGTCATTCCAACCTTAATTCACTTCTCATATCTGTACTTAAGTTTTAAAAACCTAGTCATTATTGTTTAAAGTCTATTTCTTAACGAGTAAGTGGCTATTAAGGAGAATATATTATTTTTAATAGATGCCCATCTTACAAGTCTTAAGCATTTTTATAGAGTTCACTAACTATTATAAATAACTTAGATAACATGTTTAAGAAAACTTTATATTACATTCCTTGTGTGAGGTTATAGTGGTTATTAACATAGTTATCATGTAAAGATTTTAGTACCTGAACAGGCCAGCTTTTCTTACGTTTTGGTAAAACCTGTACATTTTATGCCACAATGGGATTTTTTTTAGATCCTTTGTGAGATTGGAATCATTTTGTCCAAGTTTCTTTGTATGGGCCTCACACTTGATTGGACTTTGGCATTTCTTTCTATGGTAGTTTGCTGTGGAACAGTATGACCATTCTCAGGTGATACCTTATATGCTCTTTAAGAGAAAGTTTAAAAGGTTTTGTAGAGTGCAATATGATTTGTGAAGTCAATATTTAGTAATACAACTTTGAACCTCATTATTCTCATATATATATATTATAATAGTCTTGACTTCTTTCTGTTAGGTAAAACAAATTTTTTGGTATTTTAACAAATAGAATAGCATTATTTGGTCATTCTCAAAAGGGATTTTTATGGTTTAATTTATTCTAAGCTTCTCTAACTGACATCATGGCATTATCTCCAGTATAACCTGATTTATTCAAATATATGATATATATTTTTTGTATTAATAAAATTAAAATCTAGTATTAAGACATTAGCTGTCCTGTACAAAAATTCTATAATCAAATTTATAAATTTGAGGCCTCTTACTTTTCAGTTTATCTAACACATCATGACGTCATGAAATAAATAATTGGTCTAAAATCAATATTATAGTGGTAAAAACTTAAATAACATTTTTTAATCCCCTTAGATTTTAGTTATCTAATGATGAACAGAAATAAAAAGAATAATATCATTTTTACTTCTTTTTTCTTTCAAGTTATGATGTTTACATACACATCAGTATTTGTGAATAATGAGCCTTAAAGATGTTATTAATAAACTATCTATTTGAATATCTTCACAAGAAGAGAAAGAAGTAACTACTGCTTTAGTTTTGTTTGTTGTCTAGTGTTCACATATGTTTGCTGAAAATTACATACAGTATATCTTTGAGTATTTCAAATAACATCAATGTGTTAATGATATATTTAGCAATTCAGAAACCTAGTATTTTTATCATCTTAGACTTAAGCTCTCTTTAGATCTTAATAATACTTTTTAATTTTCTTATTAGTTCTCATAATGAAATTAACTTCACTTTTCATCACCAGGGAATTTTTTCAGTACATGAGGTTTGATGTATTATAATATTTAAAGATATATACTTATGTATTGAAAAAAATACCTAGTTTATCTGAATCAAAAAATAAATTGTAAGTGACACACCTATGGGTTACTTTACAAAACATCGGGAATGAATATGTTGATTATGTTTTTACTAAAGAATTTCATACAAAACTACCAACACAGTGTTTTCTAACAGATAAGCTATATATATTTTATAAAAAATCATTAACTAACTTAAAACACAACAACAAGTGTTCTTGTCTTTTTTATTATTTAGTACAATTGCAAACGAAAATTTGCAGTATCATTTAATGTTGTTTCATGAAAATAAATAAATCTCTGCATTTCTTTGTAAACTTTTTTGATAGAAGATTTAGTGATTTGGGTGAAGTTGTCAGAATATAATGTAAAACCATGTATGACTTCTAGAATACTTTAAGAGAAACAAAAATAAAGTAATTTATTGCTTAAATATTTTGGTATCCTTCGGAATATTATAAGAGGTTACATAGAGTCTCCGAAGAGCATTAATCTGTAATGATGGGTTTTTTTCCTTTTGTTTCATATATTAATATACATATGTATGTGTGTTTTGGGGATTTGTAGCCATAATCTATTCACATATATTTGTAACTGAATGCAGACTGTAGCTTAAATGATTCCAATATTTTTGTTTTTTATGTACAATTATTAGATCATCGATATACCTTAATTGTTGTATCTCTTTTTAACTTTGAATTGTTACTAACACAGTTTATTTACCAAACTAAAGTTTAAACTACTACTTGATAAACTGAGAGACAGATAATAGAAGTTTGCAGGTTGAAAAGGTGAATTGTAAAATTGACAATCCACTACACTGACAAATGACAGTTGACTGAAAACAAAAAATCATTAACTAGTGGTGAAATAAAAGGCAGGTTTTGGTTATTTCATCAAAGCATGAAAATCACATGCAGTGATTGACCTTGAAAATCAGCACTCACAGTGTACAAAAAAACTGAATTTTATAATTGATCGTAAGAAAATAAATCATAGCACATAATATGCACCCCAATTTCTCAGTAGTAGGTCTGCATGCTCAGTACCCATTGTGGGCAAAGCACAGATAGCCCATTGTGTTGCTGTATGCTTGACAATAAACCAACCAACCAACAAGTGTTTACTTTTTTGAATAACTAACAATAAAAAGCACTAGTGGGTAACAGATAACGAAACTAATTATTGATTTTTTTATTGGCATCTATGACTAATTTAAAAGATACAGCACATTACTGACAGTTGCTTACTGATAAATTAAGTGTTGTCACATGTGTTTTGTTCAGTGTATAAATGTAACTTCAGTGTCAATTCACACCATGAAACATTCACTAGAAACAATCAGATGCTTTCAACAAAACCTGTAGTTAATTTCCCCTTTCCAATTGTATTTTAAAGTATAATACGAAACTTTGCCAAATGGAAATTAAAAAATGTATCTTCTTTGGAGGAAGGGCTCAGTCAATCTTGCATTACTCATAAAAAGACAGGAATATTTTTGTATCTAAACTGTGTACAAAACTAAATATGAATATAATTTGTGTATGTATTTTTAAATCTATCTTTTTAAAGTGCTTTTTGTCAGACAAATGTGAAAGTATTTTGCTACTTTGTCCTAAATAAATTAGCTAATAATATATATTTATAAAAACATATATTTGCTGTACCTTTTCAATGGGTGTT